GCAAGGTTGGTCCAGCAGGGTGTGTCCGTGCTGACGTCGTTGGTCCAACTCGGGTAGGCGTCGCTAATTCGAAAGTTGGCAGGAAAAAAAAAAATGGCCACGAAAAAGGCGCGCAGTCCCGAATTCGAAATTCGAAATTCGAATTTCCGCAAGCGAGTGACGACGGCGTGGGCGTCCCTTGCGGCTGACGGCAGCAACATTCCTAGGCGGAAGCGTTTGGGTACGGGGTGGCGGCTGCGTGTCGACGGGCACGTCGAACGTACATGTACACGTCCGAAGGAGCAGACACACTGTCACACGATCGCCATCGTTGTCGTCTTCGCAGCCGCACCTTCATCGTCGACGTGTACGTCGTGCACTCTGGTCGTCACTCGCAGCATCGCTGTTGTGCGCCCCGACACACGTGGAGTCTTCTGTACTTGGGGACGCCCACGTCGACAGTACCAGTTTCGGCGATGGACATGAACGGGGAGGCGGGCCGTGACACACTGAGCAAGGCGGAGAGGACGGCGGTGGCAGCGACCATGAACGCCATCCTCTTCCGCTGTCAATTGCAGAGGAGCGAGGGGAGGATGAGAGCGGCCATTCTCGCACGGCGGAAGAGGACGCTCCAGTCCATGAATATGGACGTAGAGGACACTGGTGCCATTTGCGACGCCGTGCTGCAGGTGGGCTACGCAATGGGGTGTGGAGCATTTCCCAGAGCGATGCCCAGGTGGTGGATGAAGCGACGAACATGGGCGACGTGGGAGGATCTGGGGCAAGGCGACGACACGATGGCCGACTACTTCAAGGACAAGCTGCGCATGTCGCTACGTGTGTTTCGAGAGATTGAACCGGCGGACAGGGGAGACTGAGACTGAATCTATTGGGGGCGACCGGAGGCACCCCTCGACACAGACGGCGACCGGAATTGCTGCCTCGGAGGATCCTTGTTCCCCGATGCCTCCAAGACTGACGCTGGAGACTTCGATGATCGGGCGACAGCCGTCACTTGCCCGCCGTTGTCGTCGGGATGGGGGGTGACGATGACCGTTTGCGAGGCGGCCGACGACCTCCCGCTACACAGCCCGAACGACAGATTCACGCCGCCATCGCCTTCGTCTCCGCTGAGCCCCTGCTGGAGGAGTTCGATGTAGGACTGGCCATAACCGCCGTCACGGCTTCCACATGCTGTAGCGGCCCAGTCCTGGGTGGACCCGCTTCCCAGCGGCACGGTCCGTGACCATCTGTCATCCGCCTCCTCGTCGGACGTGTCAGGCAGAGGTTGCAAGTGCGGTGGCAGGTGCACGTACCCAGACCGCTCCGACGGCCTTGAACTCCTCGACGGGCTTTGCCCAGCCTGCTGACCACCACCCTGCTCCCCTGCAGACCTGCAGATCGCCTGGTGCCCCTCCATCCTGACGTCCTTCTTCAAAGACCGTCTTTTGCAGGCACGTCGCGTAACACTGCCGGGGATGCACACGTGGAAGACAACTAAGAGGAGGAGCAAGAGGACGACCAGCACCAGCAGCAGCAGCCTCCGAAAGACATCGGCCATGAAAGGCACGTGGACAACGGCAACAACTAGATGACAACGGTGGACGTCCAGGAAACGGCGAGGGACAATGGTGCAAACGACAAAAAAAAACAGCTATCGACAAAAGCAGGGTAATGTATTCCGTCGCGGAAGACACTGCGCAATGGGGAGAGCGAGGGCCGGCTGAAGTATTCGAATCTGCCGACCGTTGGGCGCCTTCCCGCTCGGGGCCAAGGGCAGCGATGCAAGGCACCCCCATTTCGACGTCGCGGAGGCCGGTAGGCCGCGAAAGGGGACCGTTGGCTGACAATTCATGACCCCGACCATTGCCGACCGAAGACGTCTGTCCACAGGCAGCAAGGAACAGCAATGGACCAGCCACGTCGAAAATTGTCGTCGACAGAGCTGCCGTCGACGCCTCCATTCTTCCTGATGCTCGACCCCCAAGGGACCTCGGGAGCTCCCTTGGGGAACGCGTCGAAATGGCTGTAGCCCAAGGAATCCCCGAGGAATTCCCGAGGAAATGTTTTCACATTTTTTTTTCAATTTCTTCCGCGAGGATAAGTGGAACGATGATTTCCTCGGGGGATTTACGTGCCCGAGGAATGTCGAACGAGCCCCTGTGTGTGTGTGTTGGGGGGTGGGGTGGGGGGGGGGGGTTGCTTTAGGTCTTTTTCTTTCGGGGCACTATGCAAAAGGCAAGTTAAAAAAAAAAAATCCGGGTTGGGACAGTTTGGTTCGGACAGCGATCCAGATCGGGACACTCATTATAGCTGTATTTGAGGCATCTTTCAGTCTAGATACAACTATAATGACCGTATGTTGTATTGGGAGAAGAAGGTAGGACCCGCTCTCGAGCTGCAGATCCCTATCCCTCTTTCTTCTTCTCAACTTTTTCCTATTCTGAGCTTTTTCAAGTTTCTTTCTTACGTTCTTTCTTTCTGTCTTTTTTTCTTTCTTTCTTTCTTTCTTAATTCTCTCTCTAGTTTTGCTTGTCGTCCCCTTAAATGCGATGGCTCCATTTTAATCGTCTCCGTATGTTCTCCAATTTTAACGGCCGTGACGTCCTAAAGAGCCTTTTTTTTTTTTAAATTTAATTTGGACCATTTCTCGATTTATGCATGTCATACTTGCGCAGGGGCCATTTTGCTAATTCACCCTTTTTTGTATCGTTCCAATTTTAATGGATGTCCCGAAGAACTAAGGGTCTTTTTCTACCGTTGGAAACGAACGCTTTCCTTTTTTGGCAACGCGCCCAGGGATATGGGAAGTAAGTACATCAAGAAAAAAAGAAAACTACATTACATCATCAACAAAGGACCTCGTATAAAAAGATTGATGAGGAGCCCATATGCCCCTGCATCAAAACAAACGAGCCCGTCTTTTTCGTTTTTTGACGATTTTTTTTATTTTTATTTTTTTTTAACAAAGTTCGTCCAGTACTAGCGATGCTGTTTAAGACAGACATCGCTAGCACCTGGGGGGAGGCTCCATCTATTGGTGGGGAACAACACCTGCTGGAAAACGGGTCCAGCGTCCCTTACATAGATTGATACAAAATGTTGCAAAGAGGAAAATTGAAAAGCACCTGGAGAGGGCCTGCCAGCATTGATTGCTCTGGGAATCAGAGGATTGACCGAGCATGTGTGAAGACGACCCGAACGTGAAATTGGGAGTGGCAGAACCTCATCTCCCTATCCATCCCTATGCCTGGTTAAGGTACCGGGAGGGTCCATTGGGGGGCTTCCATTCCTCTGAAATGCCTACCTACAACACTGTCTTCAGTTGCCCTCATCCGCACTAACAGCAAAAAGAAGGTAGTGGACAAAGGAAACAAAAAGGAGGGGGATTGAAAAACAGAACACAGACGGAGGCAGGCTAAAACCATAAAAAACAGGTAATCAGGAACTGATCATAAGAACCCAAATCCGCCCCAAACACTATCAAAAAGCATATAAACAATACCCAAACGGAAAAAAAACTGGAGGGTTCAGAGGGTTTCAGTGGGCAGGGGATTACAGGCGTAATTCCAGAGACCCCGGATGCGGAGGGAAGGGGTCTGGAAACTCCTCTGCTTGTCGCATGGGGATGCAAGAGTCTATCGACAACCATTCCTTGAAACTCAGGTGGTGGTCCCTTGGGACTACCTCTCCATCTTGGTCCTCCCTGCCGACATCTCCATCCCAATCCCCTGACCAGCAGACCTCCGCTACCACCCCTCCCGATCCCCACCCAACCACTCCCTAGAAAATTGTACTAGACGTTCTCGAATGTCCTTGGATCTGTGGAGGTTATCGAGTGATTGCTTAGTGGTCTTCCACCTATGCAAGAGTTCCAATTTGAAGTGCGTTTTGAGATGCTCCAACCTCTCCTCACCCTCAATCCGTACCTTGTCTAAAGTGAGGACGCAACGTTGCCACCACAGGATCCACAAGATCGTTCTTCGTGACAGATGAAACATGTTTGTCACAAAGGTGTTGTCCTGAAAGGGTGGGTAGTAACCCATGAGGATGGCCCGCCATTCCCACGGCCATGGATGCCCTGGAACCATTTGTTGCCACACCCTATCCCACCATCTCCAAGTCAAAACTATTGACGGACATTGTAGGAAAATGTGTTCTATTGTCTCTGCTTTCTTCTTGGCTGGGAACCCCATAAGGTAGCGGGAGCACCAGGGGAGCGCACGGCCTTGTTGCTCTAAACATGAATGATCGATTAGCCAATCGTTGGTAGTGAGACACGGATGCACGATCTGTCATTGTAAGGATGTGATTTTTGCAGGTCGGTTGTTGGTATCTCTAAACCATCGAATCGGTGTGAGAAGGTGTCTCTCCACGTTGAGGTGCCTCTGCCATCTGTCGATCACTGTATCTTTGAGGCACCGCTTAGTTCTGATCATTTTATATATTGCCTTCACCGTGAGGTCGGACAACATTTTAGGTTTTGGGTCAAAAGGGAGGTTTTCTAAGGCGAATTCAGGAAGAAAGGCCCGCTGGTGTTCCCCATTCTCTATAACCCTGATTCGGTATAAATCCTCTAATCGAGTCCATTGGAAGGGGTCCTGACTCCCATCCAGCGAGCCGTCTCCTTTTATGTTAGACCACTCAATCAGCCCCTCGTCCGAGCTGACTAGATGAACCATCCCTACCTTTTCATCCCTCGCTTTCTTGGCCATCCAATGCCCCTCCTTCCCTACCAGGCCCATGCGAAGAATGGGCCACCATCCTATCGGGAGGGCTTCCGTTTTGGCTTCCAATGCCGATTCAATATTGTGACAATATCTCAATTCCTCCCTCATCTTTTTCGGGGTCTTCCAGTCCTTCGTTTCCCTGTCCCAAAGGTCGCCCACTTGAGTCACCCCATTTTTCACCCAGCCCTTCCACGGGGAGTCCGAACTGCGAAAGATTTGACTTCATTCATTAGTGATCCATCGGTTACCGAAGAGCGGTTGCCTTGCTACTTCCTCCCACCTATCTGGGGGTGGCCGATTCGGAGGGGGTAGTTTTCTCCAAGTTTTCAACAGGCAAGGCCAGAAGTCATCTCTCCGTCCCTCCCCACCCCGGGGGCGTCGTGGCACTCTCCAGTAGCGATCGTCTAACCATTGGAGGGGGTGAACAGACTGAGGGGCTTCCGGGGCCAGGCGGGCAATTTGCATCAGTGCTAATGGTCTCCATACGAGTGTTTTCTCGAAAATCAAATGTACAACCCATTGTAAACTCAGGGCTTGGGACTGGGTGAGGGGGTCTATAATGCCAAGATCTCCTTGGGATTTAGGTTGAGTGACCGAGTCCCAAGCCACACGATTGATGGCATGGGGGTTCTCAATATCCCCTCTCCATAGGTAGGCTGCCACCTTCCTCTTTAAGATCTTTAGGACCCTTGGACTTAGTGGCCATAGTACCGATTTATACCAAAGGGAGGCCAAGACAACATTGTTTATCACAAAGGCCTGCCCAAAAAGAGTTGTGTGTTGGTGGTTCCATTGAGAGAGTTTTGCACATGTCGGGCTGAAATCCAGCCGTCATTTTCCGCGGGCTTGCCATTGAGTGTCATCTTTACCCCCAGAATCCTGATTGGGGATTCTGGGTCCACCCAGGTAATTTGGTGATCTTCCAGGGGACGGCCCAATTGACGGCCATATCAGAGAGGGTACAGAAAAGGTTCATTAACTTATGTATCTCTTCCATGTTCTGATGTGTGGCGTCCGCCATAGTTGTTAGATCGTCTGCAAATAGTGAACAGATTGGGATTGCATCCTCAGGAATGCCGACAATCTGAATTCTCGTTAGATCCTTGCACTGTCGAAGGTTAGCTGCTAACGCTTCCATTACGATGATGAATAGGAAGGGGGCGATAGGGTCCCCTTGTCTGACTGAACGTTGCAGTCTAAACCCTGGCGCCATAGTCCCGTTTATCTGAACGCTCGTAGTCGCGTTTTGGTGCAGGGTACCGATCCATCTCCGAAAACTATTGTTGAAGTTTAGCCGCCCCAAGCACCTGTCTAAGAATGTCCAATCCACATGGTCATAGGATTTTTCGAAGTCGATGAAGATGAGTGCGACATTATTTTTTGACTGATGGGCCAGGCTGATCATCTCATTGACCAGAAGTATGTTCTCTTGGATGTTCCTATTGCGCATGAAGCCGGTCTGGGCTGGATGGATGATGTCCTCCATTACCCTAATCATGCAGTTGGCCAATGCTTTGGACAGCATTTTGTAAACCACTGTCAAGAGAGTGATGGGATGGTAATTCCGGATGTTCAATTTATCCCCTTTTTTGTAAAGTAAAGATAAAACCCCTTGTCCTACTAGTTCCCCGAGCTCTTCGGAATTTTGACGAGGAGGACGGCAAGAATAATGATGATGGTCAGGGTGAGGGTGATGGGGATGAGATATCGATTGAAGAAGTGATGATTTCTATTTGATTTACATTTAGTTTCTCCTGAAACTTCTTTTTTTTTTTTTTTTTTTGTTGTTGTTGTTGGTGTATTCATAAGGGCCCAGTGCCCAAGGCAGTACAAACCAGCTGAAGCAAAGAGATATTCAGGGCCCGCAAAGCCTCCAATCCTACTCTGTGAGAAACCTCGTTGATGTTTGGTAATCATTTTTTTT